TATATTGTTGAAGATTAATGATTAAAACTGACTAATAAATAATAAAGAAAATGTTCCAAAAATTGTGTCTGAGGGAAATGCGCAGTGCTGCTAGAGTCGGATTTAGTAACTTTTTCCAGGGAGAGGAGGGGAAGAGGAGGGAGGGATTGAGTGTCATTCCCAGGAAATGAAACTACACGCCTAAAAGGAAACTTTTCCCGAACGTTAACTTCCACAGACAAGACTAACATCTCTGCAGGTAAAGTTCAAATGCTTTGATTCCTTTTCTGATCTGACATTTCCTGTTTTCATATAATCAGAGAAGGTTGTAGGGGCTACATAAATGTTGAGTCCTGGTGAAAAATGCTAAAATCTCCAGTATCTCTCCAGTATCTCTCCAGTATTTGCCTCTGAGAAGTAGAAGTATAAAGTTGCATAAATACAGTATACAGTACTTACTCATACAGACTATAGACCATCACACCGATGTTCTTAGTTGTGATGAAGTGCCATTTAGGTCTGATTGACTGCAGCCATTTTAGCTGGTTATTTTCCACAGGAAATTCTCACTGTGTTACTGTTTTCATCAGTGGAAAATGGTGAGCTTTGAAAGATTAACTCACTGTGATTTTATTGTAGGTCAAAATGTTTGAGGGCACAACATTAATTGTTCACTGTCTATACTGTAGTTGTTTGTCGGTGTACACTGCACATGTTTACGATATACATGATATATGATACGATACCCATATGTCTGATTAATATATGGGTCAGACTCTACTCTCTGCCCTCATTTCATGTCAACTCTCTACTGTCAGTTCTTGAATAAAGTCATAACATGCCACAAAAAATAGAAATAAATAACTAAAAGTGAGTCATCTAGTGAAGCTCCTTGCTGGTTTGTTAGAGTTCAAGTTCAGTGGCATACACTAAAACAACAACGTGCAAAAACTGCACATTGAATCCTGCCTACAGTATATCTACAACTTGATTTAATGCTATATTTCATGCTATTGTTGGATGCTATTAGCAAGTGGACAGATTCAATAAGAATTTTGAACACCGAAAAAACCCAACCTCCTACTTGATTTACAATCTTGATCTCCAATGATTTACATTTTAAAATCCTATTCCTCCATCCTTTCCTCTTGTCTAGACATGGCCTCAGCCAGCAGCCTCCCATGTGAAGAGCAGCTCCTGTGTTCAATCTGTCTTGATGTGTTCTCTGAGCCTGTCTCTACTCCATGTGGACACAACTACTGCAAGACTTGTATCACAGGGTATTGGGCCAGCACTGACCTGATACAGTGTCCCCTCTGTAAGAAGACGTTCCTCGGTAGACCACAGCTTCAGGTCAACACAGGGTTTAGAGATATGGTTGAGCACTTCAACAACATGACGGCTGAAGATGGCATCCTTGCCAAGCCAGGGGAGGTGCCCTGTGACATCTGCCGTGGGCAAAAGCTCAAGGCCCAGAAGACGTGCCTGGTGTGTTTGGCCTCGTACTGCCAGTCTCACCTGGAGCCTCATCAGAGAGTCACAACCCTTAGGAAGCACCAGCTTATTGATCCTGTGTTAAACCTGGAAGACAGGGTGTGTCAGAGGCACGACAAGATGTTTGAGTTTTTCTGTCACAGGGACCAGACGTGTGTTTGTTTCATGTGCTTGAAAGACAATCATGCAACCCATGAAGCTGTCCCATTAGAGCAAGAGTTCAGAGAGAAGAAAGCCTGGCTGGTCGATGTGATGTCAGAGATAAAAATGACGGAAAACGCTAAATCCAGGAGTATGAAGAAAATCAAATACTCTGCTGAAAAGAGCAAGAAAGAGTCAGAGAAAGAGATAGCAGACATTGTTGAGGCTTTCACTGCTCTGGTGGTCTCTCTGCAAAGAAGCCAGGCTGAGCTAATTGAGTTGATCCAGGCGAAGCAGAAAGCAGCAGAGAAGCAGGTCAAAGACCACATGACACAGCTGGAGCAAGAACTCGCTGAGCTGAGGAGGAGAAGATCCGAAATGGAGGAACTTTTACAAACTGAGGACCACCTACGCCTCCTGCAGAGCTGTCCAGCTCTCCTCTCTCCTCCACGCACTGGGGAGCTATTCGACCCTCTGTCCCACTCCAGCCCTCCATCTACACTACACCTCTCACTAGACATCAGTCGACAGAGTTATGTGGGGATGGTGAAAAAAGCAGTGGCTCAGATGGAGAAGACACTCACTAATGAGATGGAGATGCTTATTCATGAGGTCAGGTTGTCTGACGGCTGTGAGGCAGCTACACAACCTGATGCAGCTGAAAACCCGATGACAGATAAGTTTATTACAGAAGTGTGGAATATGCCTCAGGACAAGCTGATGATGATCCAGCAGTGTGATGCGGTGAATGTGACTCTGGACGCGTACACAGCCAAGTCCAGACTCAAGGTGTCTGAGGATGGGAAACAACTGAGATTTAATGATGGACTGCTGTCTTTTCCCAATTTGTTTGGGAGAAGATTTGAATATCAACCCTTTGTCCTTGGGAAAGATGGTTTTTCCTCAGGCAGGTTTTACTATGAGGTTCGGGTCAGTGGGAGTAAATCCTGGCTCTTGGGAGTGGTTAAAGAGTCCATTAACAGGGAGACAACGTTAATTCCAACCCCTGAAGAGGGAGCATGGACATTTTATAAACTGTCCTGCGAATTCGGAGAAGTTTATCATGCCTATATTACTCCCTTTGGACACCTGAACCTTGGGAAATGGCTTGATACAGTTGGTGTGTTTGTCGATTATGAGAAGGGAGAGGTCTCCTTCTATGATGTAGAGGCCAGGACTCTGATCTTCTCGTACTCAGGATGTACCTTCACAGAGACCGCACCAGCACTAAAAGCTTTTCTCTATTCTATGGCCGGTGCTAACTTAAGCAGACCCAAACTCTACCCCATTTTTGGTGTCCTTGAACATGATTCTAACAGCGTGCTCGAAATCACTCCTGTGGTCCCCCCAAGCTCAGTGTAAATTCAAATTTATAAATAACCTCCTACCTACCTTACAGTTAGTGATGAGGTTCAATTCAAATTGGGAATAAAGGTAGAAGAAGGTAGTTAAGTCACATACCATATTTACATACATATTGCAATACCTGTATCTGACCAGGAGATGGAACCATTGTTCAACCAGTGTTCTGGTCTGTTTCTCAGCAAGCAGCAGATTGGACAGTGGCATCAGGAACTCAGTTTCATCTCTGGCACTTATATATGTTATATTTTTCTCAGGCTTATATGATAGCAAACTAAATATTTCTTGGTTTTGAAGCATTGGTGGAACAAAACAAGTAACTTAAATTAGTTAATTTGGCACCATTTTCTTTTTTTAAAAACATTTTATAGTTCAGACGATGAATCAAAAAAATAATCAGCAGATTAATCAATAATGAAAATAATTGTTGGTCACAGGCCTAACAGGTTTAACAACAGGCTCCGAGTTTATAGCTGACATTAATGAACACCTACTTTTTTTTTTTTTAAGTATCAATAACCTTGTTCATCAGTCACTTATCTTGCATGCATGTATAATACACGATATGTATTAAAAAGTAAAAGTGTAAATTTCTTAAAAATTGCTTCTCAGATCTCTGTCTTCTGTCTGTTTCCTCCGATTACATTGATGGAGTTTTTGTTTGGGGTGTCAAGTGCCTTGCACATGGGCAGTGGGTTTTGTTATGATTGGAAGTCTTTCTTTACAATGATAAAATACATAAAAGCCACTAGTAAAAGTTTTCACATTTCAGAAGGGAGCGCTGGTCCACCGTTCCTGGAGTGCTTCTCTCAAGGGAAACTTTAGCCAGCAGACTATTTATACCTCAGCTGTCTGACTGACTGGCGCCCTGGGAACTGGGACACTGTGTGTGTGCGTGTGTGTGTGTGTGTGTGTGTGTGTGTGTGTGTGTGTGTACGTGTGTTGGTCTTTGGTCATTGTCTAGCTGGAAAGATTTCTTTAGGATGATGTGTAATTGTGTGTGAGAGACACAGACAGAGAACGAGACCTGGGTGACCAGCTATGAAATATGCCACATACTCAGTTACTGTATGTAGGTCATTCACTCATCAAACAGACTCTCAAGTATCAACATGCCATAAGTCCAATGCATGGATGCAGAAAGAACACTAAAGCATCACACTAAAAAGAGACTGAGTAACTTATATAAACAAGGATGAATTATTTAATAATACATTTAATGTTACAAATCAAATGTATTGATTGTGACACAGGCTTGTGGATAAAAATGACTCAACTTGAGGGACATTTTATTGACCCATACAAATTCATACAGCTTCTACTGATGCACATAGCTCACTGTCCCTGATATAGGACCCCCAGTGTGTCTACTTAGTTACTTTACAAATTAAGATATTACACACAAAATATACAATGAGCTTATGAAAATTATACATCGTTATAGATTAAATGAGCCAAGAGGAAATAAATCAGCTCCATCACAACTAACTAACTAACATTAAAATGCTACTTACACATTAATCCATTAGACGCAATAATCTAATATATAACAGTATAACAGTCAAAGGGGACATTTTTTACTTTTGAAACCTAAAGTTAATTTTGCTAAATATATATGCACTTTGGTGTAAGTAACATTTTACATGCAGGACTTTTTCTGATAGCTGATGGAGTAGGCTAATGTTACCATGTGGTATTACTGCTTTTAATATATAAGTAAAGAAACCGAATACAAGCTCCGCCACTGAAAGCTACTAAATCATTAAATCTGAGCTGCGAACATATTGTTGTCCCGGATGTGAAAATACATTGTAAAATATGACAAAATGATAAATGGGCAATGTAATATTAATATGAAAAAATAAAAATTAAAAAAACGTTCTCTCTCACTTTATTTACGAGTTTAATAAATATGGATTATCATGCACGCGCCTCAGCAAGGATATACGTGGGGGGGGGTTGCTACGTCTCGGGGGCGCGCACTCCACCGCTCCACCGTCCTGACGTCACGGGAGCGCCCGAGCAGTCGGGGAAGCCACCAGTGGTAGAGCTGGCACCGACGGGAAAGGAGGGAAAGATAGACAGAAGAGATAGACAGGAGGCACGGAGAGAGACAGCCACAAGGCGAAGCGAAGAAGAGGGCAGGGAAAGACAGCCCCTCGAGAAGAGAGTGTCTCACCTCGGCTGACCGTCTGTTACGTTATGAAACGTCAGTTTTTGAGGGTTTTTGACAGCAACCAGAACAACTGAAGAGGATATGTGACTGGCCTTATTTTTTTTTCTCCTTCCTTCCTTAGCTTATTTCACAACCGAGGGGAAGCAACGTAAACACAGCCGCAGTGAGTACTGGAACTTAGCTGGCAGCCGGAGTGTGTGCGTGTACACATGCATGTTTTATTACAAGGGCCTATATATATATGTATATATATATATATATGTATATATGTGTGTGTGTGTGTGTGTGTGTGTGTGTGTGTGTTGTGTGCCGCTTCACGGTCCAAACCTCACATGTCTGGCGTTTTGTGTGACTCTGAGAATAAAAGGAAGGAGCCCCGGCGTTAATTAAAATTGGATGTGTGCTCCGAGGTGCAGCAGTCTCAGGGTCAGCTGGAGATCCACTAACAGTCGGGCTCTGTTAGATTATTCCGCCGCCGGAGGGGAGAGCACTAACGTAGCCAGTCTGTCCCCTCATGATACATTTTTTTGTGTTTTTTTTTTACAGGCGACAAACGACAATGCGAGCCCATTCAACAATGCTTCTAACCCCCTTTTTGTCCAATAAACCATTTGTAGCTGCACAGCCAGAGGCTTTCATCCGAATAACGGGCTAATAACACTATGTCTCGTCTTTGTACCTCTAAATGCGATTATCAATCTGTTCGCTGTGTTGCAGGCGGCAGGAGTGCTGCTGACAGCCCTTTGTAGTTTCTCAAAGCCACACAATTGCTATTACATCCCCTTTTTAATATTCGTTTACAGCCCCAGTTTAGTGGCCTTATTGTACTTTATGGTGGGTTTATCTCCGGTGGTAGCGCTAATATTCCCACAGGGGCTTAAAGTGGTAGTCAGTATTAAGTTCACTCTCACGCCATAATATATTCCCAAGGAGACTTGTAGTTGTGATGTTTCTAATAGTCTCTCACAATGGCTTTAACGCCGGTTCTGAACTCTTACTTTTAAAATTAGTTGTTTTTTTAATGCTGCCATTGTTGTTGTTGACTGTCAAGCATGCAAAGACACACTAAGCAACATGTGTGAGACTTGGGTAACAACATCTTTGCAAAGCAAATCAGTGCGAGCAAAACATAGGTCAGATATGATCGTGTTGATGAAGTAAGGGGAGGTGAAGTTTGCTGCGTGTGTTTTGCAGTGCCCCAGGGGAGGGGGGGGGTCTCGAAGAGGGGACGCCGTGATTTCCTCCGTGTTCCGCCCACAGCTCCATTTCTCTGCACCGCCCCTCCTCCGGGAACACCGAGTCAGGGAACTGAGCTGCTTCCTTCCACTGAGATTAATGTCAACACTGGACAATTTTTAAATGCCCATGCTCTGCACGCCCCAGGGCAGCTTGGGTAAAAGTGGGGTTTTCTTTTATTTAATCATGATTTCTAAAACTTTGCATGGTCCCCCGGCCCCTTTATGGTTGTATCTCTCTGAACTTTTGGCTCCTGATGAACCTTTGTGCACAGCCTGAGAGCCCCGACTCCTCTGTCTCCAGGCTCAACATCAAAAGGTGAAAAAAAACAAAACTTTTGCCTTAAGGGCTCAACACTTTGCAACAACACGAGGAACTTAGCCTGACGAAGACAGTTAGCTCTTTCAGACCTCGTCCAAGAACTCACTTTTATCATAAGACCAAAATCTTGGCCGCCTTGTCTGTTATTCATTCATTCAAGTTGTTTTATCACTTTGCCAGGGTTTAGATTTATTTCTATCACCTTATATAGATAGATGAATAGATGGATAGATAGATAGATAGATAGATAGATAGATAGATAGATAGATAGATAGGCTTTCGGGGGGTGTTCGGGTCACCTTCTCAACTCCCTTCATCTTTATTTAACTTGGCAAGTTGACTGTACGAGCACATTCCTCTTTACAGGAGGAGCCTTGGGGAGTTCCTCTCTCACTTTCTCTTCAATTAACTACTACACACTCCCGAATTAGTTTGGTGCCTCCCTGCCTTTGTGTTAATTGTCAAGTCTCAACGGTACATATTTTTCCATATTTGTAATGTAGGCAGCAGCCGAGATTAGATAAGTGTGCGCTCTGTGTTTGCACCTATGTATCTGTGCGTTTATGTACATGGATGTGTGTGTGTGTGTGACTCATGGTGTGTGTGTGTGTGTGTGTGTGTGTGTGTGTGTGCGAAACTGATTGTTTTGCGCATTTTGTGATGCCCAGCCTACATCTAGGATTAATTTCCTGTGGCACACAATAGACTGGAGCTGATGCTATCGGTCCCCTTATCAGTGTTGTGCTTTCCAGAGTCTGAGCCATATTATATGTCTTATCGCTGATAGGACTGGTGACACAGAGTGAGGTTACAAGTAGCTCAGTCACTCTGGTGAGACAAAAATGTGTATCTTGCCCAGACATCTTCTGCCTAATATTTTCTTCCCAGGTGTTATTGGGCTGTTCAGTTAATTGAAAAAGCTCCTCTTGCAGTTTTGGCTATTCCAGTATCCTGAGTGCAGGATTAATTGATTTTTCCTCCTTGCGGGGAAGGGGTTGCACAAGGTCTGAAAAAGACCAAACTCTCTTGACTACAAGTAGATATATAGTATAGTAGATAGATATAGTATTTGATGGTGAAATTCCATGTTAAATGCATTATATGTTTTTACTCTTCTATACATTTCCACACAAATCCTGTCGTCGTGTTGCAATTCAGTTTAAAATGCATAAATCAGCACAATGACTTCGCATCAATATCATTCCGTGACATGGAGACAATATCCTGTGTTTCTATGTGGAACTAAGCTAAACCACTAATGGTACGTTACTTAAAACCAAACGGCAGCCCTGCATGAACTACAGTATGTGTTGCACAGCAGTGCTAAATGAGTCCTAGTAAGCCCAAATACATAATAAAGTGCTGAGAAACTGCCTGTATTTATCAAACAGTTAAATGGGAAATTATGGACGTTTGGTTGTGAGAGATAAAAGTAAAAAATCCTTCACTCGCAAATGCTCCTAAATATAATATAGCCCCAGTGGTCTGTGACGTTGGTTAAGAGTAGATGACCGCAGAACAGAAACAGGTGAACATACACCTTCTGAGACATGTTTTGGAGTGATTGCACTAAATAATTGACATGATGAAAAGCAGCGGAAGCACAATGTATAATTCAGGATTGGGTAGTGAAGCCTATTATTTGCATATGATATGAGCTACGCAACTATTTTTATCAGGGTTGCAAACAGCAGTCACTTTCCATGCATCTTCATTGTCTGCACTTGTCACTTAATTCTCCCTATGATTTCTCTGATGTACCGCGAATAGTAGTAGAATTGTCATTAATATATCCCTATGTATGTTTATGTGTTAGATATGACATTGTTGTCAGTTTAACATGGTAGTTGCCACTGGAGCTGTTAAGGATTTCACACCAATGAAATTAATTTCTTTAAACACAATAAATCACTAAGTGGATTTGCAGAAAAACATATTCCATATTAATTCTTTAGTGAACAATATGGCAGACGGGGGGTAAATCCTTGTCTCTGATTTGCTATTCCTGCTCGGTGCATACATGATTAATCATGGGATTACTTTAGAGTTGCCCTCAAAAGTTACTCTTACACTTCACTATAAGTACCTTGATAAATGTGTATTATTGCTCACTCTCAGCGAAGAAGTTGTCTTTTTCTTAAATTGTATTTACTCTTAATTAAAAGTATTAATAATTCACTTCACCTTTTCACTCTTTAGACAAATAGCCATCTGGTTTTCAGAGGGGTTATGTTATTGTCGTCATGATAAAGCAGCTGTGAGGGTTAAAAAAAGCTGACTCTGGTGAACGGCGGGTCATCCCCTTAAATCTTCAGACAGATTAGGTGCAGAGCGAGTACGACTCTTCCCTTCAGCAGACCTGTCGAGTTGACTTTCAGGAAGACGTGTAACCCCAGACAGCACCAGCGAGTCCTTTCCAGCCACATCATATCACAACGAGCCTGACAGGAACAGAGAGTAATGGAGAATGATAATATTCAGGTTGAGTATAATGTGTTTTTATGAGCCCCGATCCCGAGGCGAGAGACGAACTTCGTCAAATTCGGCTCCCACGCTGAAACACCAGTGGGCTAAGTATAGGTTGAGTGGTGTGTGTGTGTGTGTGTGTGTATGTATGTGTGTGTTGCATTGTGCGGTGTGACAGATGAATGTGGGTTTGTCACATAAATAGAACATGCTGAACACCTTCAGGAATGCTGATGGAGAAAGAGAGAGGCAGAGACAGGAAGTGAAAGCATCAGGGAGACAAGTAAGAGTCAGAGAGGAAAAAGAGGGATTAGAGGTAGAAGAAAGAGTGATGGGAAAATTAATAACAAACAGGTGTTACATTCAAACATCACCCTCTTATGTTAGATAAGTAAAAAACTCCCTATCATGTCTGCTTGGGTCTGTCACTGTGTAGTAACATTTGGGCCAAAGGTGATGTTGATCTAAAGCCACTGTAATCAATATTTATTGACAATGGATCACATTACAATCTTGTGACAAACCAGAGAGGCATCACCCAGCTCTGCAGTTACTTTTTGTTTAGTTTTGTTTCACTCACAGTGTCGTTTTCAGCTGCTGCAGGCCACGGTTTTCAGCAAAATCTGTTAATGTGTTTCAGTTCTTGAGAGGCTTGTTTGGAAAATGACTACAAATTTGAAAACTGTTCTCTGCTGTTCTGGCACATACTGGTTATCTGCCCAAGTACAGTACTTTGTGTTCAACCACGGAGACTTTCTTGGTAGCCTAGTGTGATATTCTAGGATTTTATGAGGCCTAAGACAACACTGAGTGTGTGGAGGAAAGATGAGACGTGCAGAATGGCTGTTAGTAACAGTACAGGGAGGCCGAGGATGAAACACAGAACGTTGTATGTATTGGTCTTTCCTGTGGAGTGTTTTGTGGACATAAAGGGGATGAGGTTATTTTGTTTCTCAGGTTTACTCCTGGGCCTGTTTCAGGATCTGTTAGTGGTATGTGGTTGTAGCATGTTATTGTGTGGTTGGACATTTAGAGTACAGCCAATTATAAAAAGGCAGCTAAGTTGTAATTACAATTATATATGCACCATTCAGATTCTGGCTAGCAATCTTGATTTTGCAACAGTAGAATTAGTCTGATTATTGATCTGATTAGAGCTGGAACGATTATTTAATTAGTAGATTGACATAAAATTAATAAGTAACAATTTTGACTTTTTTAAAGCAAACATTCACTGGGTCCAGCTTCTCTCAAATGTGAATATTTTCTGCTTTTTACAGACTTTTATTATAATAACTTAATATTTTAGTTGGTCGGACATCACAAAATATTTGAGGGCGACACCTTGGACTCTTGAGTTTTTGGATAAAAAGATTAATTAAGAAAATAATCTTAATCAGTAATGAAAATAGGCATTGTTAGCAGCACTACAGTAGATATGATCACAACAACCATAACATATCCTATGCAAAGTGGGACAACACATAAGCAAGCAACTTGAATTTGACAAAAACAGCTAAATTAAACATCCACTTGTTAGCTTTTTTCAGGGCCTTCAACTACAACAAACTCCAGCTACTGTTAAAAGCCAAGAATGAACTTTCATGAACCCTCAGTGTTTAACAGATGTTTCTTAAGGCAGCACCACATTGCTTTTTCCACACTGGTGTGAGAGGGCGAGATGGATGGTAAGCATGTTGACAGATATGCTTGGACAGTCATATGCTCGTGTTTTCTCGACCTTGTGATGCCTACTGCGTCACGGGTGCGTTTGTTTGTGTGCTGGTTTCCAGTGGCGTTGGTGTTTCTGCATTTGTTGTTTCTCCTTTTCATAAGTCTTCTTGGAAATTCAGTTAAAATTGGAGATTCATTAAAATGTTCACAGTGGTAGCTTCATGAGAGATCATAAGCTTGAGGTTATTATTGCTTTCATCTGACTCTCGTTGCTGTTTGCAGTCCCTCATTCTTAGTCCTAAAAGCGCCACGAATGAATTCCCAACCTGTGGGACGTACTGGTGGTTTATTCATGTGACCCTTAAACTTGAACTGTAGAACACACAACATGGTGTGTGTTGTGGTTTCCATGAGGTCCTCAAGCCAATAAAAATAAAAAGAAGTGTGTGTGCATGTGTGTTTAGCCTTGTGATAGATTCATGGCCTGTCCAGCCTGTACAGTACCCCGCCTCTTGCCCAGTGCATGCTGGGAGAGGCTCCAGCTCCCTGTGACCCTCAACAAGATAAGTAGTTCAGTAGTGGAAGGATATGTGTATTTATTGTCTCGTACTAATCAAACTAAAGCAATGACCCAGGATTGATAATGTTATCACTAAGTTGTGATACTTTGATTGTTTCTGCTGTGCAGTTGGACGACTGCAGCAGAGATGCCTTTGAACAAGGCTCTTAACCCTCCGAACACTCACATTTACAAGCAGAGGCAAGTCACGGCTGAAAAAGAGCCATGTATGTGTGCAATAATTGCTCAAAAAAGGCTCAAAGAGAAGCTAGACATACTGAAGATTTTTCTGCGTCATAGGGAGAATTGGGACATGAGCATATACATTATCTACAGGTCAGCAGGTCCAGAGGGGAGGAGGAGGAAAGCCCTGAACACACAAACACACACACACACCCTCTCTCTGTCCCTGCGGTCTCAAATGAAGCAATAGATGTGTGTGCATTGTTAGTGCCATGATAACTCACGGCCACTGAGCTGATATGCACATGTGCTCATCTATGAGTCTGTCATCTACTCAAATGTGCATTTGTGGATTGATAAACCTCCGTGTCGATCTGCTCATGTGCACAGTTTTTTTTTGTTCTGTGTGTGTGTTTGTGTAAGAGCGTATACTGTATGTGAGTGTGTGTGCCTGTGCTAGAGGCAGGGTCTTGGCCTGTTTCTGTCCAGGTGTGTGTTTTTGGCCTGAAGGGAGACAGAGCAGATGTTTGCTTTTGAGTGTGTGTGGCTGTGACTGACTGGTTGTCAGTAACATCTCCCTTGCCAGAGATCTTTACCTAGCAGAACATCAGCTGGAGAGATGCACTACTGCAGGGCTGTTAAAGGCCTGCACTGGGTTATTGAAATATCCTAACAGTAGATTAGGTCTCTATACTGGGTCACTGTGTTACCAAATGGCATGTAGTTCATGAATAATGATGCTGTGTGGCAAAAAATGCTGCTAAAAGCTGTTTGACCATTAATAAGTATAATTATGTGACAGTGTATGATTTACACCTACCCTAGGGGCATGTGTAACTATTCAGTTGTTACTTATAGTTACGTTGGAACTTATCTCTGTGGTGGTGGTGTGGTATCTTGGTAATGCACAAATCACAACTTAGTAATAATTCATGGTATACCTATGCTATGTTTGAACTTACACACAGCTGGTTTAACAGGCTGCTGGGTTGGGACCCAAAGTAGGGACTGAACAAAGGGCTGCTCAGTCAATCAGACATGCATGTTAACTTTTGTAGTGAGCAATTTGCAAGAGGCGGCATGTAGAGGGGGACGATATATCAGACAAACTACCCAAAAAGAAAAGTGTAGAGTCTCTGCCATACTGTACAATCAAAGTACTAGTTTTAATTAAAATATTCACTTTATTGTAAAACTAAGCTTATTCTATCATTGTTTATGTGTATGTTGAACTTTTGTTAGTAATGACTCTTTTGCGATATCAGAATTTAGAATACTTAAAATTAGATTGTTTTCATTTTTGTGTTCAGCAGTGGTTTAGTTCACATTAGGTCATTCTGGTAAGGGGAAAGTGTGGATCATATAACCTGTGTGTGTGTGTGTGTGTGTGTGTGTGTGTGTGTGTGTGTGTGTGTGTGTGTGTGTGTGTGTGTGTGTGTGTGTGTGTGTGTGTGTGTGTGTGTGTCTGTCTGTCTGTCCAATCAATGGGTCATGTGTCCACTGACCTGACATCACTGTCCCCAAGGATACCCAAATGACTGAATGATGACTGTTTACCAGATGGCCATCGATTTGAAATGTGTAAATATCCAGTACTGTCTTTATCCGATGCAGTAATTAACTCTAGAGGTAACACCTACAGCCTTTCAAATGCTGAACTGAATAGCGCAGGTAGTTCAGGGGGCTTGGGGAAAATTGGAGCAGCCTCTCAAACATTTATTAGCAACATTGTAAGCCTGTGCACATAAAATGTATTATTTTTACACTGTTAATTACAAGGTTTCTTTGACCTGATTGACTTAATCAGCTTTAATATTTAAGGTATTTATTTTAAACACACACAAACACACACACTATTATATATTAGGATATTACCATACAGTGAAAGTATGACAAAACACTATTTGATAGCAGTTGACATGTTTGGCATCTACTATCTACGTATTTATTAATGTAGCCCATAAAATGTCCCTCCAGTGTGACTCATATATGATTATCAGGACTAGGAGAGATGAACATTTATTTATATTTTGTAGTTTTATGTTTTCTTTCCACATTATTGCAAAATAAAATGGATTAATAACAAGATTTAATTGACTGAATAAAAAAAAAGGATTATTCTATTTTAGTGCATGTAACTCATCCAGCAGGATAATGAAGTAATCGTCTGTATGAATATTAAATCAGTTGATTGAATGTTATCTGCTGTCACCCAGTTTAATACGGCTGCAGGACAGTAACTTTGATGTGATGACTAGAGGGGTAAGGACATAGTGTGATCTTAAGAAGGTGTAATGGGAGGCTGAGGGATAAAGCAGCCTGTGTGATCAGATGAGCCGACACATCGGCTGATGCTTGCGCCTGTGGCAGAGTTTGTGGATTAAACCAAAGCTTTTTGACTGTGTGGAGTGTATCAGCCTCACATATCTCTCACTTACTGTGTATGTGTGTACATGTCACTGAGGTGGCAGAAAAAGAGTTCTAAGCATCTTTGATGAGTGATTATATGTAAAGAGGGCAGAGAGAGCGTAGCGCTATTGTGATTAGTCCACCTATGAGGATAGTATTATTAATGTTTTTTATTATAAGGTAGTTGTAGCACTAGAGATTGCAGTGTCGGTCCACCACTTTGGTCCAGACTGAAATATCTCAACAAACAATGTCCAGAGGATAATTCCTACTGACTTTGGTGATCCTCAAACTCTTATTTTGGACTCAGGCAGGTTCAAATGTTCACTTATCCAGTTCCCCAGACGGTGGCATCTACTTACTTTGGTGATCCCCTTACTTTTCCTCTAGCTTCATCAGCAGGTTGGCACAAGTTCAGAGTAAAATGGCTCAACAACTATCACGGATCATCAAGCAGTTTGGTGGAGATACTCATGGTCTCTGTGAACGCCTGACTTTACAAGGAGCATTGCAGCCTTGCAGAGCCCATAGCATTGCTGTAGACCCATTTTATACCTTGGAAATGACATTGCCATATGATGTGATACTATAAGAAATGCATCAATAACATGGAACATACTGGCCAGTTATATGTTTATTTAACCTGATGTTAATGTATACATTTGGGGCAGTTGCTTAGCATGCATTGAGGCTTTTCTTACTTTTATAAATTAAGAAAAATAATTTTAATTTAGTCTAGTGCTCATTACAAGTTAACAGATGAAACTGTATTTTTTCAGACAAAATATCCAATATCCCGGTAGAAAGTGTATTCCTTTGTACCTTAAGTGCAGTATATTTTTGTTCCACTGATCACTAAGTCCTCGTCTCTTTCTCTCTTTCTCTCTTTCTCTTTAGGTGAACCCATCATCCCTGGCCTTGTGGATTAACTTGCTGCCTTTATCTAAAGGGATGTGCTATTGATTACTGCTTTCTAACAAAGCCCACTGATTACAGTGAGGGTGTTGGAAAGGCCTTGATCACAGCTATGACAACACTGCATCAGAATATTTCAAGTCACGAAGGACAGTAGACCGACGGGAGTTTGTGTTTTCAGCTGTTACATTCAGTATTTCATATATTTTGGGACATACATTTTTTGCTTTTTGATCCGAGTTTTCGCGTAATTTTGAGCATGCGTTTTGTTTCACTTGATTTATTCATTTGAATCAGACACTCTTTCGTTCCTACAGTACACACCATATTCTCTTACCATGTACGGTAGCTCCCGTTCCGTCTCAAAGCTGGATGTCGTTGGATCCAATGGTAACGGGTCTGTGTCTGGGAGTCCTGGTCGCTCCCCACGGCTCCCTCGCTCCCCACGCCTTGGACACCGGAGAAACAGCAGCAGCAGCTCCGCCGGCGGACTTACCGGCTCCGGTAAAACCCTGTCCATGGAGAATATTCAGTCTCTGAATGCTGCCTACGCTACGGGCGGCCCTATGTACTTCACTGACACAGTTGAAGACCCAGTCGGCATTGGGAGCCTGGGCAGTGGGTTGAACCCCTCACTGCCCAAAAGCACCATGACTCTGGGCCGGGCTGGGGCCAGGATCCCTTATGGAGTCAGGGCGGCCATCATGGGGAGCAGTCCTAATATAAACACTGGAGGTGGAGGGGTCATGCCCAGTGATGCCATAGCATTTGGGGGGGAGATGCAAAACCAGCCTCCACAGGCGGCTACAGTGCCCCACTCCATGAGACAGGTGAGGCATCGGAGTGTTTTCTTCTTTTATTGCTGCAAACACAATGTCAGCATTTTGTGGACTAAACGATGAAGTTAGTGCCAACAAAATTTGAAAATTTGTCATTTTGTTCCTCTGTGTAGAGTCTATTTACTTTTTGTCTTCAAATCTTTATTCCCTAAATGTTTGACTAATGCTTCAAGAACAAACATTTAAAAAGCTGCTGTGTTTGAGACACAAAATAACTTTTTGGGGGTTTTGTTTCTGGAAGTTACCCAGATGAAAGGAATAATTCAACATTTTGGGAAATATAGCTACAGTTAAACACTTTCTTGCAGGGAGTTAGATAAGAAGATCAATACCATTCTCATATCTGTTCATTCAATATGAAGCCGGGACCTCTAAAAGCGCTGAGTAACATGTTAAAAACCAAAGTAATGTATGAAATATGTGGTTTTATATAGGGGTTTATGTGCTTAATTAACTGGAGAAGTAACTTCCTTGTGTCTCTGCTGGTTGCCTGGCAACCTCATGATGACGACAAGACTCTAGGAGGTCACTGCTTCTGGTCAAAAAATCCAGCTCATAACCCTCCATAAAACTGCCGCTTTTTACTCTTGTGTTTTTTGTTTTACCTTTAAACAGAGCCAGGCGACTGTTTCCAGTATTTATGCTAAGCTAAGCTAACTATCTCCTGGTTTCAGCTTCACATCAAACAAGCAGATACATCACAGTTTGTTTTCTGTGCACAAAAAACATGAATCCTCAGCCATATTGCATTGTTATCCTTAAAGAAAATTGCTCTAAAGTGGCAGACAAAACAGTTCAGATGAAGTTTAGAACAAACAGACGAGGAATGTGTGGATGAAATTGATTTAGGGTGTCGATAATCTTTGTCTCACCTCTGAGCGAAAGAGTCTGAACATAAAAAGATAAAAGATAAAAATCTGTTGCACTTAGAAAACAAAGTGTTTTGTCATAGATGAATTATCCTCCTGTTCGATGTGGGTAGGGACGTGGGTGGTTCTAGGCATTTACGCTAAATTCAGATAACTGTTTAAAGGTTAATATTTTCTTCTCAAATCATGCTTCAACCAAATAAAATAAGGGCTGTGTGGGTATTCATACAGTATGTTTAAATAGACTAAGGTCTGCCCTTCTACCACCTCTGCAACATTAGTCATAACCTGAAAGCTCATCCCCCCAAGGTGTATCTCTCCTTCCTCTCCTATACCTCCCTCGTCCACTTGTTTCTAATTATTTCATAAACACAAAAGACTTTCTTCATCTCTCTTCAACTCTCTGAAGCTTTCTTGTGCTATATGTTACGTTTATTGTGAGGATAAATGTTCAACCTGTGTTCACTTGCAGAGCTGTAAGACTCTCTCTGCACAAACATCAGCCGAATACCTTAATGTTTTTAAAAACCAAAACAGGATGTGTTTGTTGTTTAAAAATGCATCAAAGATGTTTTAAATTCTTTAAATGTCACCATGAATTAAACATTTTTATGTGGAGCGTTATCGCATTAAAGTCAAGTGTGTACTATATGAAGGAAATGTGTATACAAATGTCCAATTTATCTTGAAAAAGTGTTTCTGTTGGTAAATCCTATCCTGAATAGTCCGCCTATAGAGTATAAGTTGAGATTCACCAACCATTTCCTGATACTACACCACTGTGGTTAAGGTTTGGTTAGGTTTAGGCACAAAAACTGTTCAACAGCTACAGACAATGCCAGAATATGTATATGTATATAAAGTGAAACAACGTTAAAAATACTATCTAACTACTATGCAAATATATTGCTACTGATTTCTTGTACTTGTCTATGGTAGATTTTATTGCTCCAACAAAGGCTTCACTTCACTTCACTTCACTCTCAGTCATGCTGTCCTGGGGTCTGCTATTGCTATCTCTTAGTAGTGACAGCTGCAAATATGCAAAATGTTAATGTATGATGTGGACAAAATTGATGATCTTGTGTTTGTCAAACATTTTAAACTCACACTGTCTGTTACCAGGTGAGAGACGGTGCAATGTCAGACCTACAGACACAGTTAAGAGAAGTGCTGAGGGAGAACGAACTATTACGCAGAGAGGTAAGCAATCCATTTGTTTTACCATTGATGATATCTTATTTATTTTGTGTTCTGCCTTTCTCAATTTAAAATAAAGATTATACCTAGAAGGACAAACTATAAACCAGTAAATAAGTAACGTGCGGCAAGTAACCAAGAAGAAACATTTATTAAAACAAAGTTTGATGTTCATTTCTTTTAGTTGGAGGCTAAAGAGTCCAAGTTGAGCTCCTCCATGAACTCCATTAAGACGTTTTGGAGTCCGGAGCTGAAGAAAGAGAGGGCGCTGAGGAAGGACGAAGTCACGAAGATGGCCGTGTGGAAGGAGCAGTACCGAGTGGTCCAAGAGGAAACACAGGTAGGAAAAAAAGTGTGTTCGACTCTGTGTGAACCAAAACAGTAAAGTTGAGTCAACAGATCAATGCATCAACAACAATATCTCGACCAGGGTTGAGTTAATGTCATTGTCCCTAGAGCTAATCCAGGTAGAAAATGTCCTTTAGCCCGACATTTAGTTTTTTACTTTGGATAAGGTCCATCCTTTACTAGCTGTGATATAGTTGTTGTACTTAGTTTAGTCGAATGTAAAAATGAATGGACCGACACAAAGGGGAGCGTACCCTGATAGATGTGCCAACTGTTCTGGTGGATTTGTCTCGCTGCTGTAAAAACCTTGAAGACGGGTAAGCAGATGAAGCGCGCTGCCTGGATAGGGGGACTCCCAGCTGTCTGTTGGTTGAGAAGCCATCTGGATGAGACTGAGACGCAGCTAGTCTGGCGGGAGGCCGGGATATTATACAAGAAATGACTTGCAGTCAGTTGCTGCCACGCAGTGACTCATTTCACACGCTGTCATCTTGCAGAAAGTGCTCAGTCCTCGCCACATTTACTCTCAATTTAAGAAAATAGGCACATTTACATTTTAGTCATTAGCTGGTGCTCTTATCTCTGCATATGTGTGTGTGTGTGTTGGCGGTCTTCAGGTTGTGAAATTGCATCACCAGATATTAAATCACTCTTAAGAAAATTTACAACCAGTTTGGTGTGTGTGTATGTGAACATGTGCAGCATGCCTGTGTGTTTGAGTGCCTCCATAAATCTAAATGTGAGTCTTGTGTGTGCGCGCTTATTCACGCCATGTGCAAGAGAACAAAGGAACAGATCATAAATCTATCATATATTTGACCTCCTGCCACCACTAGAAAAATCCTCCGTTGCCTTCACACTTACACACACTCTGCTCTTTGGGAATGTGCTGTTATAGCGGGTGAATACACATGTTGAGACATGTAAGAGTATTTTCTGATTTTCTAATGTGGGGAAATGTTGATACACTCTCTCTTTCTTGACCTCTTTCACTTTGATTCCCTTTCTTTCCTCCAGACAAATCACACCCTTTTAACCAAAGGCATCCTTTTCATTTCCTGCTCTCATTATCCCGTCACGTTCCCTCTCTTCACTTTTCTGTTTTTTTTTCTCCGTCCCCTTGTTGCTTTTTTCCTTCTTCTTTCTCATTCCCCTTCTCTCCTTCTATTTCTGTCAGCACATGGTGAGTCAGCTCTCGCTTTCCTCCCTCCCTCCTACCTTCCCTCCTCTCCCTCCCTGTCTTTGCCATCATCTTTGTGTTAGAAATTGAATTAAGTTACATCCCAGCACAGGCACACACACATGCACGCTGTGTCACGCCCCTGCTGAGGAATGCACATCTCATCTCCACCCTCCGTTCTTCCTCCCTCCCTCCCTCCCTCCCGCCCTTCTTGCCTCCACACTTCCTCACTTATTCACCTCCTCCTTTCGTGCTCGGCCCACTATCTTCACCTCTCTTCCGTCCGCCTCTGTCTTTATCTCTTCCTCTCCTCCTGTCTGCACTCCCTCTGCATGAATCCTTTCCTCTCATATTCATACAATGTGTCACCATTGATTCAAAACCAGCATAAAAAAGACAGATCTTTGTAAACGAGATTCAAAATAGTTGACAATGTTGTCATACTTAAAAATGTCTTGTTTTCTCTATTTTCATAAATATATGTATATTTTGTTTGATGTTGTTTGATTATTCCTTAGGAAAGAAATCAACAGGAATTACAACAATTACAACAATTGATCGCTTATTCATTTAAATGATTTATTAAACAAAATTGCCAAAAATTTGTTCTAAAAATTGAAGGATTTGCTGCTTTTCTTTGTCTTATATAGTTAGAAGTCAAATATCTTTTTGTTTTGACTCTTCTATTTGAAAATGTCACGCCTGACCCGGGAACTTTATGGTTATTTTTATTACTATTGTCTTCAGTTGTCATTTAATAGACCAATAAATTAATAGATTGATTCTAAGAAAAAATCTGGAGATTAGTCAGAAGTTAAAGTGGGCTGTGAATAAGATTTGCAAACATTGGAAAAGATTAATTTTATTAACTTGATACATTTCTACTTTTATTATATCTTTCTTTGTCTTAATGAACGGCAGCAGAACTGCCCGTGAACAAAACACTGACATATAATCACCATCTAAAGTTGATACAGCGATTGTGCAAACAGTTGCCTATTTACACATCCAGCAGACACAGAGCAACATTAGCATTTGTTAGAAGTCATGTGTATGGTCATCTGACAAGTCCAGCATTCACTCTCCTTTTGCACCATTTAGGGTCTCCACTAACATCTAAAGAAATTATTAGTGGACAAATGCGTTCCATAATGTTCACCAGCTGGTTGCTAACTTGGTGCTGAGCAGGTACAGTGGATTTATCAGAGATTTTTTTGTTGAGAAAGCTGCTTGAAAATAATGCTAAGAGAGCAATAAGAGTGAAGCAGTACAAGTTGTGGACAAGAAAACCAAAACATTCAGCTGAAAGATGCTAAAAGGCTCCATAGAGCTGGTGTTCTTAGGTTGAGCTGAGACATTTTGGAGATTGGCAGCTCGTACAGACAGTGAGAGCACTGAATACAAACAGCACTGTGTTATGTGACATCAGGAAAGCAAATTCTGCAGGTTCATGTCAGCCAACCTGGTGGATGTGTGATGTTTTTTACTAAAATATACCAAAGTGACAAGAGGGAAGAGGCTATAACCTTTTTCCAGGATGGAGTGCTTGCTCACAGCTGTTGGGGAGAAAGATTGTATTTTGTTTTACATTATTACTTTCTGTCTGCAGAAAAGTGAATTAAAACCAACAACATTTTTCATTTCTCACTCGGATTAGATGGGAGGCTCTTTTTTTTGTTGCTTCCCGACTGAGCTTTAAAATATTATTCTCTCACTCTATACTGCAAGTTGCTTTCTCTTCTTTGGTTTCCCACATGCAGCAATTTCCGCTTACCAAACCTTCCACTCATTGTCACCACACGCTCCATCTCCATCTCCTTCTCACTGTTCTCTCTGTCTCACCATTTCACTCCCACTTCGGACACCCTCTCTTTCACAGGCCCCTGTCCTTCCCTTCCTACTCCTCGCTCTCCATCTGGGCCTGTGGAGCAGTTACGCTGCAGAACTCAATTCAATAGAGCGGACACACCCTGGTCTAATAAAATCTATTGATCTGAACACGGATGTATGCTGCTGTATTTAGCCATATTGTAGTCAGTGTTGTCTGTCTCCTTTTGTCCCTTTTAGTGCACCGCTTTGCTTTGGTTTCTGTTGTATGTGAGTGTGTGTGTGAGTGAGTGAGTTCACCCAATTGGTTCCACCTCTTTGATCACAGCAGGTACGTACAAAGCAGAAAGAAAGAGAAGCACCGAAAAAAAAAAAAAAAAAAGATGAGGGAATGATTGGAATGCTAAAGAAAAGCTTTACTTTCTTTTTTCTGTCCTCCTTTCCTCGTTAGTTTCTTTCTTTCTTACATAAAACACGCACACATTTTGTCTCTTTCTGTCTTTATTTTTCTCATTTACCCTCTACAATCTTAACAGCTGCCAGTTTGCAATGAATAAACATGCACTCTCAAGCAGAAGGCAAGCAGCATTCGCAATTGTAGCCATGACATCCAGGGTTCAACTCAGCATCACTGTTTCCATTCTGTTTCCATACTCTCTTGAAAACAACTCCACGTACCTAAAAGGGATCTTCATGCTGCAATGACACATTGCTAATTATTTTTTAAACTTATGATCACAATAAGGTGTGATGTGATGTACATATTGAGCTAAACACCTTAATTAATGCGTTTACCGAAATTAATTTAGCTTCTTCTTGCTCTCTGTTCTACGTGGTTTTGTCACAGCGCTGAATCATACCAGCTGAACAATAACCACTCTGTCTATCTGTTTCTGGGGCTGCTAGATCCAATCTATCATCTACTGTACTCCAGGCGAGCCACGTGACGTCAGCACCGGCGTGTGTGTGTGTGTGTGTGTGTGAGAGAAAGAGAGAGACAATCTATATGTTGGAGAAAGGGGGCTTTATGGTGGCTGTAGGTTGTGTCTCATACATGTTTGTGGTGTGTTTGAGACTGGACATGAGCGTGTGTTTGTGAACATATACTGTAGTGTTTGACTGATCATTTCTTTTCTTAGAGGAAGCAGTTGCCAGCTGTGTTTGTGTGTGATAGAGAGAAAGCCACAGAGGGTGTACTGTACCAGGAGGCAATCTTTGTCCTTTGTTGGCAGGCTTACGTGTGTGTCAGGACAATTGAGCTTTTTGTATACACAAATGTGTGTGTGTATGTCTGCGGAGGTGCAAATTGCTCAGTTGCCTGCATGTTTATAATTATGTATTTGTATTTGCATGTGTGTGTGTTAGTGTGTTAATACGGTATGTGCACATGGAAACGGACATGCATGTATCTTTCTGTGCATGTGCTGCCCCGCATCTACCATTTTCTATTTTTATCAAGCGTGTATGTTTTTGTACGCTGGCAACAGTTTGTGCGTGTTTTATTGAAGTGGACGGAAGCTGTATGATGTCAGAAGTTGTGTATATATGTGTGTGTGTGTGTGTGTCGGAGAAAGTGGCTGTTGTACTTTCACTGCTGCTCTTTTTTCATTCTCTTCAATTATTTAACCTAATACCCAAGGTGCTGGTTGGGAATAGAGGTTTGTGTGCGTCTGCTAGAGAGGGAGAAAACATTTCTAGTCTATAATAATACATAAATCTCCATGTGATTGTATTCAGTTGGTTAGCAGAGACACCGGTTCAGTAAGTTCATATCATCGTATTGTTGGAGGATAGATTTATTCAAAGAAACTAAATTGTCAAAATAATGGAACGTGTGTTGGTCTGTCTTCAGCCCAGAGGTCCTGTTTTGTTTTTGGGTAGAATTGAAGTGGCAAACCTACTACCTACTGATGCCAGTGGGCAAAAGGTCTGTGGGTTTGTCAGTTCTTTTTCTCAGTGTGTGTGTGTGTGTGTGTGTGTGTGTG